CAAATCATCGACAACGACGCATTGAAGGAAGCCATTGAGTCGGATCCACGCCAAACCACTCAAAAACGGTAAAATTCAAAGTTCCGATTTTAGTACCTTTTCTCACAGAAACCTTATTTGATTTGTCGAAGGTCGCTACATTTTTTTTTACAAGTAGCGTAGAGTCTCAGGTAGATTTAAAAAAAAAACCAGTTCGATTCGATGCCGGAAAGTTCCTCAATCGATCTTCAAAGTTGTGGCGCAAAATGTGTCAAATCCTTCAATTCTTGTATAAGGATTCGACACATTTTGCGCCACAACTTTGACGATCGATTTCTACCACTTCCTAACATCCTATTGAGCTCGTTTTTTTCAAATGAGGTGTAGGGTCTCAGCTACATCTAAAAAAACATAAAATATCCAATTAACTCAGAAATTTTTGCTGTGAGGTACAATAGCGTGACTTTCCTTTTCTGTATTCAATCTTTGATGACACTTTTGGCAACAATTTTTGTTCGTTTCAATGTGTTTAAAAAAATTTGTTACCGCAAATTTCTCGTAAAACATTTACGGGCTGTTTATTGGTTCTATTTTTTGTGAAAATTGATTGAAATGTTTTTGATTCATTTTGCCATTATGTTAAGTTGTGCTTTTTTGATGATTTTATATAACTTTTATTATTCTTAGATCAGAAACATGGAGAGTAAGACATTGAGTAAGACAATGGCTTTGGAAACTAAAGTGTCACAGAAACTGAGCTTAAAGAAAGAAAAGCTTGAATGGATTGATCAAGTATAGAGTGTGTTCCTCTTCTTTAATGCGTTTTCTAAAGCACTCATTTCAGAAAACTATCGTAGTCAAAACCATCGTTGGTAGACCAATTTTGGTATCATTGACTGAGCCTTGTGATTCCTCAAGAAGAACACACTCTATTCAAATATCCACAAGTACTATACCAAATACAAAAAATGATTTAAATCAATTTATGTGAATTTCTAAAAAACAATAATGTTATAAGAAAACTGTAAATTAAAAACGCAAAAGTTAAAGCAAACAAGCATTACTTTTTTGATAAATTTCGTTTCAAATGGTGCACTATAAAGTAATGCTTGTTCTCAACGTTGTTCTGAAACCATGGGTTAATTGATGATTTATGAAACACACACAAAAGATTTAAATAGGTTAGAGGTTTGATAAAAGTCGAGTCAAGACTATGGTAGCTTTCCAAGATTGATTTGAATTAAAAGTCAGAAAAAACAAGCCTCACTTCCATCGTCTCACAAAGCAATGCAGCATCTCGCACTCGCCCTCGAGCCTTCCAGTAGCGGGTTCTCTGGCCACCAAGAATCTCAAATCATCCACGCAACCACTCTTCTGAAAACAATGTACTGAAATGAAATCCACAACGTCGTCCTTAATCCTTTCTCTCAATTCCAGCTCCATTTTTCCGCAAAGCTCCACATCTTCTACACTTTTCAATAAAGGATTATCAGTAAAAGCCTCTATTTCTCCATCATCCGGATGAAATGGAACAGAGATGAGGATCCGGCAATTCTCGTTTTCACTGGGCAATCCGTTTTTCATTATCCATTCTGGGCAACACTCCGGAATTCCATAGGGCGCGTTAATTTCAATGAATTCAACTCGAGTCTTGAATAAAGCCTTGAACAATTCTTCGTGTAAATCATCAAATGAAATTGCCTTGCAAAATCTCAGTCCAGTTTCGATGAAATCTATGAAATTGTCGGCGGTATCCAGGTCTCCCCATTTTTCCGTATTGAAATATGCGCTTCTCGTGACTTTAAAGCGAAATCCTTCACAGATCAGGTCCAAACAACTTGGCGTAGTCCCGTCGATATACAAATCTTTCACAAGTTTCACTTTTCTCAGCAAAGCTTCGAGCAAGCTGTCGAGCTCGTAATTTTCCATTTCGTAATTATCCACGTCGTGAAAGTCATCCGCTAAGGACAAATTTCGAACGGTTGTAATGTTTTGTAGAAGTGAAATCGAGAAAGAATTTTGTTGTAAGAGATCGAATTCGTGAGAAGATTCATTCTTCATGACAGTAGCAGTGAAAGAATTTGAATCGTCGATAAAATGGAACATCACTTTATCAGCTCGTTTCCCGAATAGACCGTTAGACAAGACTTTATAGCGAAGAAAATGATTGGTTTTTAAGAGTTGAAAATTCTCTTTTGGACCCGATTTGTCCAATATTAGTTCTTTCAACTTATTCGGAATCGTTGAGAAAGAAATTGGTACCGATTTTGGCATTATTCAACAGCTTTTGCGAAAATATTTAGATATTCAATCAAAACTAGCGAATTTTAGGTATTCTTTTGCAAAAAACATTTTTTTGCTTTTGATAAACAACAAGTTTTCGTTCTGAGACGCAGACTCGTTCAAGAGAAATCCCTCGTTGAAGAGACGCAGACTGTGACACCATGACAGAAAGCAAAAAGAAGATCGGCACCTACCACATAGCCATCTGCACCTACCACATTCCGAGGATCGGAAAAGAGCCTTTCTAAGCCCCGCACGGTTTCCCAAATATACACATTTTTGAATCTGGGCAAAAACTGAATACAGTATCGGATTCCCCGTGTCCCATCGACGTTTGTATCTGAACGGCATCAAAATCGGCTACGGCCATTTTGTATTGGGATATTAGAATTGGGAATATATAAAGTATATATAAAGTATTGGGATATTAGAATGCAAAAAGAGCAACTTTTTTAAGCTCTTAGGCGATAATGACATTTTAAAATCATTTAAAATGAAACCGACTGAACTGAATAATCTCTGGGATTCTGCGGAAGAGGCTGGCACAAAAGGGATTCAATGACAATTGTGCAAGAGATGGAAAACGTACTTGATTTTCTTTGATTCCCCATTAATTAAACGGATTGATCTTCGTATTGGGCGACTTTTGACAAGACTAAAGGCAAAGTTTACACGACCAGCTCTCCGGCGATTGCTTCACGAAAAACTTTTCGTACTTCATGTACCATTTTTCCAGCACCTTTTTCAAAAGTTTCAATTTTTAAAATAAACCAACGAACCCCGGAAACGGGTTCCGATTGGAATGGAACGGATACGAGTAGGTTATAACAACGAAATCCAGGGCTTATCTTTTGTTTAGATCTTTAAGTTTTGACTTAAAGCCATAAGGCTTAAAGCCACACGAGATAAATGGCCCAGCTTGAAATCCTAGCTCAGTTGAGAGAGTTGCTTTAAGTGAAACTTAGGAACTACGAGTTTACTTGAATACTTGACTTTAATGAACCATATTCAAAAAGCAATATGAGGTCTTCTTTTAACTTGTCTTGCTTAAGATTTACTTAAAATGCGCTAAGCGTTATCAACGAAGGGACTTTTCAGCTCGGCGTAATCAGCGGCCTTACAGTCATGGACAAAAGTCTTTTAACGTTGGTTTTTCGAAGCTTGTTCTTTGTATATCTTGATCCAAATCCGACCAATTTGCAAACGGTTAAAAGATTTGAAGAACTTATTATCTCTAATTTTCACATTATAAAAGGATGGATTTAACAATTTTTCAGGTGTCATGAACTTTTTAATAAAACAAAAATTGAGCCAAAATTGATGGACAAAAGTCTTTTAACAGGTGAGAAAAACATTATGAAAATCAATACTTAGTAGGTCCTCCGCGAGCCGCAATTACTGCTTGAATTCTCCTTGGCATGCTGTCAACCAGATCACGTAGAATTTGGGGACCAATAGTTGTCCAGACTCGACGGATGAAGTACCAAAGCTCCACTTTTGATCCGAATAGTTTCCCCTTCAACTTCGACTTGACAAACGCCCATAAGCTCTCGATCACATTCTAATCAGGACTATAGGGAGGAGCAGACACAAGTTGAACACGGTTTGCTTTGAACCATCCTGGCACCAGAGCCGTTCCTTCATTGGCGTTCCTCCAATCAATAATTAGTAGGTCCTCCGCGAGCCGCAATTACTGCTTGAATTCTCCTTGGCATGCTGTCAATCAGATCACGTAGAATTTGGGGTCCAATAATGTCCAGACTCGACGGATGAAGTACCAAAGCTCCGCTTTTGATAAGCAATAAGATCTTTAAATCTTTCAACCGTTTGCAAATTGGTCGGATCTGGATCAAGATATACAAAGAACAAACTTCTAAAAACCAACGTTAAAAGACTTTTGTCCATGACTGTATTTAGGCGGGACCGGCGGGCGCCTTGGCCGGTTGCTTGGCCGGCATCGGAGCGGGAGCCTATTACGGAGCGATAGCGGTCGGCGTTGCCACGGGATCCGTTTGAGAGAACTCTAGACGCCTCTATTGTACAAGAAAAACCGTTTGAATCGTCTACAAGCTGTAAATAGTCGCTTGAATCGCTGTGAATCTACTGTAGCTATTAGGTTGTTCGGATCTAAAGGAGCGTTTTAGTCGTTGACAAAATTTATCTTAAAAACAGAAACAACACAGTTTAATCCAAAATATATTCACCATTATTATTGATTACTTCTTGCCCTCTTTTGCGCAAAGAATGGATGGATCAAAATATACAAAGAACAAACTTCTAAAAACCAAAACCTGAAAAACTCAGCCGGCTGCTCCTCGAAAGCCGGCTGAATAAGAAATTATTCGTTTAAAAAGTTTCCAAATATACACAATATAACGCACTTTTAAATACAGAAAGACATGTTTTAAAGACTTCTCTCACAACAATAAGTTTAGCAACGCTTGTTTATATCCGAACAACCTAATAGTAGTCGTCTTCTCGGAATTTCCCCTGATTAGTAGAGTTTTTTTTGCGATTGGAATGGGTGATAAACTCTTTCAAAAGCCCCACAAAAGATTTTTGTGGTACGGATCGGAATTTGCAAGGTTCAAAGTGTATTTTAGCAACAGACAAACCAGTTATACAATGCAAAAACAGGTTTCCCTCCTTGCTTTCTGGTGGATGCATAACCATGCAAATTTAGAAAAAAATATTCACAATATAAGCGATTTATTAGTATCGATCACTATTTTTAGCTATTTCTTCTTGCAGACAACGTAAGCGGTTGTGGGATCGGATATCGGCTCGTAGATTACCTCCCACCACCACTCCGAGGGCACATTACACTCCTCCGATCCGATCCAATTGGTCACCTGGAAAAAGAAATTGGGCATTTGAATTGAAAGTTATTGAAAAGCAACTGTTTCCGACATCTTTTGCATTAAAAGCGGCGTCGAAAAAGAAAACAATTGGGTTATGGTCATACTTGTGACTTTGTTGACGCTATTTGTATCTTTAGTTTTCAAGGTTTATTCCTTCACTTCTTATTACACGTGGTTATGATTCTCAACTAAAGCGAGAGTCCACAATTCTGAAGACTCGGGTATTTCCTTCTTTCTTTCTTCCTTTCTTCTTCCTCCTTGTCTTCCGTTCTTTCTCTTGGCAAGTTAAGGTACCAGATGACTCAGTGATTAGACCAATTGCCCGGAAAGTAAAAGGTCGAGGGTTCAATCCCCTCTCGATGGATTTCCATGGTTCTCAAGGTCTATTCCTTCACTTCTTTATTACTAATATTACAAGTATGACGCAATTAAGCGCTACAAGGAACTTGGAAACATGTCTGAAGAACAGGGAAAAGGTCGTAAACCTATTGCTGTGACGCCTGAGACCCCCCCTCCCCCCCCCCCCCCCCCCCCTTCCCCTTTTCCCCCCCCCCCATTATTTAATTTTTTTATTTATTTTTTTTATTATATCTTATAAAAAATTTTTTTTTATTTTCTTTTTTTTTTTCTTTTTTTTTTTTTTTTTTTTTTTTTTTTTTTTTTTTCCTTCATACCCAACCCCCCCCCATCCCCAAACCCCCCTCCCTCCCCCCTTCCCTCCCCTCTCTTTCCCCCCCCTCTCCTTCCCCCCCTCCTCCCCCCCTTTTTTTTCCTCTTTTAAATTTTTTTTTTTTTTTTTTTTTTTTCCCAACCCCCCCAAAAAAAAAAAATCTAGGTTCTTCCCCCTCCCAAAAACCCCTTTTTTCCCCCCCCCCCTTCACTTCTTTATTAATACTGCTTGTATGTAGATGGAGGGATAAGCTAAATATAAGCTAAATAATATGTCAATGATTATATTCAAATCTAAAAGTGGCATCGAAAGTGATCACAAGTACCCTTTCTCAAAGAATACCTGCATTGTGTAGTGTAACGGGTCCACAAGAGTGCCTTGATCGCAAAATGTCGCGTTAAAATCCCACGGTGTTCCGTCAGTCCACGTGAATTGATCATTGGACTTAAACAGTAATTCTTTCAACTTCAAACAAAAGTTAATTGAATTTCTTACTTTTGCATCAGTTCACTATTTAAGATTGAAGATTACCAGATTCAAAAATTAAAGATATTTAAGATTGTGATAAGATTGAAAATTAGTGATAGGAGTCAGGATTTCCATGGATTTTCATGGATACAGGGTGCGGCAAAATTATGGTACGAACTTTGCGATCAGCTTTTCAGTGTGGTTTTTTCTTTTTTTGCTTTGAACTATTATTAAACCCTCTGTTATTAGATCTGAGAAGCAAAAAGAAATCTAAGAAACGAAAGGATCTAGGTCTAGGAACGAATCTAGGAAAGAAAATCTAGGAACGAAAGAAATGGATCGCTAGGAACTTTCCAGATTCGATCACCGTTGATGTCAGCTCTGGTGAATGGCCATCGAACTTGCCTGATCTCAACCCTCTTGGTTATTCTATTTGGTCAATTCTGGAGACAAAGGATTGTGATCAAGTTGATTGATTGATTGATTGATCAATCGATCGATCACTCAATCAATCAGACCAATCGACTTTTTGAAGCGCGACTTTCTTTGGCCATGGGCAATGACTACTATCCAAAAGGCACTTTCCCAGGCACTTGAAGAAATGTTGCTGCAAATGGTGGTCATTTTGAGATTTAAAAATTGTAATTAATTAGTTTTTCCTTAATTTTATGAATAAGTTGTTGTCCGTTGCGAAAATTTACGATCAATGCATTTCCATTAATTATTGTTCCATAATTTTGTCACCCCTGTACATTCAAAAAAAGCACTTTGTTACGCACTTTATTACTTTGAACCCCAAACAAGCCTAAAACTTAAAAACCAAGCTCACCCATTGTCCTCCAGTCAAATATTTAGCGTTGTCCCGTTGGCCGATATGATCGAGGTAGGAGCCATCCGAAGTACAGCAAAGTCCTTTAGAGCTTTAGTTGAAATGTTCACATGATTTGATTTACTTCGAACGAAATCGTTTTCGGCTGCACTGTGAATGGAGACGAGATGCGCTCCTTGAGTCACACAAAACGCCTCACCGTCAGTGAAATTCTTGTCGAAAGCAACCTGAAAAAAAACGATTATTTTGGATGTAGAAAGAAGAATTTGTACTTTTCTATAACCAAATTTGATGAGGATCATTTTAAAACTAATCCCAAGACGATCTGATTATTGAGAGTCGAGATATACAGTAAAATCGAAAAGTGCACTAAACTTACTTACAATAAATTGTTGGTAAAGCTTGTTGTCATCTTGGGGGGAGTTATTTAATATAGCTATCTATGGCGCTATTTAATAGAAATAGAAAAGAAATAGAAATATTCTGGATGTAGAAAGAAGAATTTGCAATGGGGCTAACACCTAATTAAAAGCATTTTAAATAACAAGAAAGTCTCAAGTCGAAAACTCGATTGGTTAACCATTCATACCAAATATTGATAGCCGGTCTCCGGAGAATACTGCCACCCATCACGACAATTGTAGAGTGGTTGTTGAGTGGCTGAAAATTAAACCACCAATGAAGGAAAGAACCATTATTTAATACATTAGTCATAGAATAACTTTTACCAATTTAGGTTTAGGAAAATTGGATCTCTTTTTCAAAAGTACGAGAAGTTTGTGGCCAGAGTATCCAGTTAGCCGAAAAGTCTTGTCTGCTTTTTTAAAGGTTACTTTTTGAGATAAATAATAAACCAATCAATTTATGGTTTGTTTTACCAAAAAAGTCTTATTAATTATTTACAAATTGTTCTTGAAGAAATTCTGAAAAGCTTACGTTACTTAATTTTTTAAAGATCAAAAATCGAGCATTCAAAAACGATAAAACTCAAAGTTCTGATTTGAACACCTTTTCTCACAGAAATCTTATTTGATTTCAAAAGACAAAAGAATGAAAGGAATTAAAGAATTAAAGAATTAAAGAATTAAAGAATTAAAGAATTAAAGAATTAATAAATGAAATCTCTATAGAATGAAAAGTTAGGCAGATAGACAAATTTCCATAAAATTTCACGAAGCCATTTTCATTCTATGTCGATTGGAAGGATTTTAGGCAAAACAAGAATTCCTGTTTGGATTGGCATCAAATTTGGCTTAAATTTGTCTAAAAATGAGTTAAATGAGATGAAAGTTAAATAGTTAATCTTTTTTATTTAAAGCAAATCACAGCTAGCCATTTATAAACGGCGTCGGCTAGTCATTTATAAACGGAAATTTCAAAAAGGTGACTTTTCAGCCCAATATTGATTTGTTGAATAGTTGATCTTGATGAATAGTTTCCTTTTTTAGAACTGTTCAAAAAGTTAACCTGGCAAACACCCAGGTGCGAGTGTGGTGATTGGCTGAGTGGGATCAAGTGCCGCGTAAACACATAGAGTCGGTTGTCGATCCCCTCGATCCGTTCCATACCATTGCCCGTCTGAAGAGTTCAGATAGCCCACTTGGTCGGGATTTGTGTCTAAACATTCATGTAATACAAACATTAACAATATAAACATTAGAAGATCTATATACACCACAAAAACCTTTTGTTCGATCGTAGTCCCAATTCGTGTCATCATCCCAAACCCAGCTGAAGTACTCATGCTCAAAAACCTCGCTCCGCACCACATAGGCACCAATCCAAATTGTCGTACTGCCTGTCAAATCTGAAAAGAGTTTAAAGATATATGGGAACGCGGCTTTGACAAGGTTTTCTTTGTCACCATACTTTTGTCAAAAGTTCTGGTTTTCGTTTTAAGACTCACTAAATTACTTTTCAATTTACCCACAAAGTACTTGTGGGTATTAAACGTAAAGTGATCAATAGAAGTGACCGTTCTCTATTCCATTCAAGTTTTTTGACTAACAGAAACTAGCCAACAGATTGATTTAAATTCAAACTTGTCTAACGAGCTTTATCGATAATAAAACTCGTTAGGGTTTAATTTAGGTTTTCGTTAATTTAGGACTGTTATGTGTTACTTAGATGATTTTAGATGATAGATGATAAGATTTTTTAGATGATTACTTCAATCAATATCACCTCATCTCGTCAATATCACTTAGATGAGGTGAGATTGACGCATTTCTAGTATTAGATCGAGAAATTGTTGCATTGGCTATTGCAACTTATAGCTATTGCATTGGATATTGGATATTGTTTATATTCAAGCACAAAGTATCGTTAAGACTTAAGGGTTTCGCTAGACAAATACTTTAAAGTTTTTGATCGCCTGGCCGCAATGGCTGACTGTCTAGGAGCACTGTATCTTAGTCGAGAGGTCAAGGGTTCTTGGTTCAAGAATCTTGGCCTAGATTCTTGGTTTTTTTTTCCATTTAGATAGGTTTCTTTCTTCTCTACATTTAGGGCTTAAGGATTGTGTTTTTTTATTGTTTATACAACATCATTTGTGTCAATAAATCATCTTTAGGCATGAAATCGAAAGACTTACTGGCTGTGAGCTGTCCGAGCAAACCATTCTGGAAAGCGTTATGAATGGAGACAAGACTGGCACCATTACTCGCACAATATTGCTTCGCGTCATCCCAGATCACTAAAGAAAGAAACTCATTAGTTTACAAGAGTTTTACTAGTCAATCATAGTCTCCTCACCTATTAGGCTAGTGCATAAACCACAATTTTTCTTTCAAATTTTTGTTTCTATAGAAAAGAATCCTTTACAAAATTAAACTATTAAAAACTCTTAAAAAATTGTTTTAAATTATTTTTAATAGTTTAAACCAAAAGATCTATTATTTCTCTACAAAATGACTCTGAAAAGAAAGTTCAAAGCTTGCCTCAACTCAGTAAAAACATGTAAAATTTTCAATTGTTGTTTTAAAGAAAATGGTTTGACGGATCATTTTCAAATTTTACAGAATTATGTAATCAAATAAGCTCTATCTTTTTTACTTTGACACAAAAATAGGTTTGTATTGAAGAAAGTGTCCAAATTGCAATTCGGAGCAGTTTCAGAGCAGTTTTGGGTGCTCGCCTCTGTGCTTTTGATCCACAAAAACATCCACAAAACAACTACTTTCAAGAATTTCTCAAAACATTTTCCAGAGAAACAATTCAACTTTTTAATAGTTTAAATAGAAATTTTGTTAGTGGCGACATTATTTTTAAAAAACGTTTGGAGGAAAAAATTGTAAAGACTTATGCACTAATCAAAGATAAACTCTCTAGGGTATCAAGCAAAATATGGGAGTTTATAACAGTTAATGGTATTTGATGAATAGCTGAATTTGAAATGGGAATTATAATCGGTTTTTTAAAACTCACTGGGTGTCTGTGTGTAGATGTAGCAAAAATTGAGATCGCCTTGATAGTTGAATCCATTCGGACAATGGGGATCTTTGGAGGAGACAGAAGACACAAAGAATACAACAAATGAAATGAGGAGAAGTCTCATTGTTCAGCAAAATAACACTGAGAAAGAATCAATCTTCGCTTTTATTTGAGGCTCTTGAAGGTCTCACAAAGTAGTTGTTCTCTCAGCTCTTTGCGCTTTCTTATCACCAATCTTTTTGTCCTTTTTGGGGATTAATCTATAGAGAAGACGTGACGTGATATTTTGTGACGATTTCACCCGAAAATGAAAGAGCTTCAAGAAATCAGTTCTCAGAACTTGATGGGTACATGAAATAGGAAACCGGAGCTGAAGACACTGATCAGAGTCACTGTCAGAATCAGGAGCTGTACTTGCATCGAACCACGTCACAAAGTACTTACCCATTTTCTTCTGTTCGTTAATTTGCTAATTTAAAAGGTACTTCGATCTTGTAAAATTCCGAACTTCATAATATTGAGCCATGAGTTTCAATTTTTCGATTTCGGTTCTCGATTTCGTCACAAGATTTTAATTTTAGGTTGACTATTGGACATTAGAACTATTAGAATTCGATTGATCGGACCGAAGCTCGGATTGATTCAGATAGAATGATCCGATCCGTTCAAATTCCGGCTCGAGTCTAACTTCACCTTTGATTTCTGAGCCAATGCAGCGACGATCTTGAAATTTTTTCTAAAAACTTATTCTCCAAACTACTAACTAGTATTGTAGTTGGAAAAAACCCAAAAAATCAAAAGAATGCCCCGAACCGGGATCGAACCGGTGACCTTTAGATAGCTGAGGAATCAATTCAGTCTAACGCTCTCCCAACTGAGCTATCGAGGCAGGTGAGGGGGAAACTCTGAAGGAAGGCAAAGTACCAGTCGAAGGGCTTTTCTTGTGAAAGTTATAATACTGATTTAAGATTACTGATACTTGGGTAGCAATTGGCTCTCCAAAGTATTTGCAGCTTCATCAGGGTTCATTCGAAGGCTGATTTTATTTGGTACCCGTTTAGGTTAACTATTGGACATTAGAACTATTAGAAGTCGATCGATCGGACCGGAGTTCGGATTGATTCAGATAGAATGATCCGATCCGTGCAAATTCCGGCTCGAGTCTAACTTCACCGTCGATTTCTGACTCAAGTATTAGGCTTTTCTGCTGAAATTTTCTGAATTCTTTTAGAAATAGCTTAACATAATCCAAAAATTTCATAAGTCAATCTTGATATTTGAGGTAGAAATCGATGATGAAATTAGATTTGAACCGAATTTGTCTTGTGCACATCTTGCTTGGCTCTTTGCTTACCAAAGCGCAGTTACAGAAAATATTACCTCCGTAAAAACTTTAAAAAGCTTTGTCCGTGATTTCAGGATTTCAAAACTCTTCGTTTCTATGGGGAGGATGCGGTGAAACAGTGATCGAAATATTATAGACAGATGGAATATTAGATTATAAACATTTTTACAAACAGATGGGTTTATTGATACAATCTACAGCGTACAAACAGACAGACATTTCTCTTTTATAGATACTAGATAATACTGTTAAAACAATGAGCTCAGAAAAAATTCGGAAAATAAAAAATGATTTCAGCAGGAAAGCCTAATACTTGAGTAAGAAATCGAAGGTGAAGTTAGACTCGAGCCGGAATTTGCACGGATCGGATCATTCTATCTGAATCAATCCGAGCTTCGGTCCGATCGATAGAATCCTAATAGTTCTAATGTCCAATAGTTAACCTAAAAGGGTACTAAATAAAATCAGCTTTCGAATGAAATACTTTGGAGAGCCAATTGCTACCCAAGTATCAGTAATCTTAAATCAGTATTATAACTTTCATAAGAAAAGCCCTTCGACTGGTACTTTGCCTTCCTTCAGAGTTTCGCCCTCACCTGCCTCGATAGCTCAGTTGGGAGAGCGTTAGACTGAAGTGATTCCTCAGCTATCTAAAGGTCACCGGTTCGATCCCGGTTCGGGGCATTTTTTTTGATTCGTTGGCATTTTTCCAACTACAATACTAGTTAGTAGTTTGGAGAATAGGTTTTTAGAAAAACTTACAAAATCTCATTGGTTGAACTGAAGCTTCCTAACACATCGCTTTTTAAGCAAACAAAGGCTTTATTCAATCAATTTCCGGGACACTTTTAGATCTCCTGTCTTCTGGCTATAGAAATAAGTTTTGATATTTACTTAAAAACAGCTCGTTGAACTTTATAAAGCCAAAATAAACTTCAAAGATTTAGCAAACAAAAAATCACTACTCACTTTTGAGCTTGTGAGTTGTTAATGACTGAAAATAGTCCAAAGCAAGCTTTCGGAAAGTTTTCAATCTTTTATTCTTTTTCTTTTTCTTTTTCAAATGCAAATTTTAAAGGTGGAATTGTTGGGCGCCAAGCGTCCAGCGTTTTGTCCCGTTGTTGAAAGAGAGCTTCTTGAAGCTGAAGTTGAGCCTCGTGGAGCTGAAAAGTGATAAATTTTGAAACTGAAGTGAGGGAAATACCCGTAATTAGCCCTAGAATTTATATTTATCATTAAAAAAAACTGATCCCTCACTTCTTCCTGTAGCACTCGACTTTTCTTCAAATGTTCCGTGATGTACTCTCTCCAGCGGGTTTCCGCTTCGATGCATTTTACTTTCAATTGATCGATCGATTCCTGGAGATAAAAGCTTTTGAAGGAATTAGATTTTCAGTTAAATTTATCCTCTACCTTCTCCAATCTTCTTTCGTTCTCTAAATGCTCATCATTCTCATTGTCAGCCTCTTGAGATTCATTGTCAGTCTCCGAGTTTCCCAGTGATACGATTTCAGAGGTGAAAGAGGCTAAATATCAAAGAACTTTTGTAAATATCATTCAATAACAAACGGATCTTGCTGAATCTTGAATCAATCTTTTTCTCAGTCTCATTTCCAATGAAATACTCACCATTCAGCTCCTCATCAATCTCTTCTTTGATAGAGTCCATTTCTGGTGCAGATTAAGAACAAGTTCCGTCAAATTGAACGATTAAAATTGATCGTATTGATTGAAAACTTGAAAAATTCAGTGAAACGGAATAAATAAAGATTGAACTTTTACAAGTGACAAATGAACAGTTGTCAGTTGCTTTTCTTTTCTTTTTTGTTTTCTTTGTTGCTTTCTAGGATTTGTCTTTTTTAGTTTTCAGTGAGTAGATCCCCATTTTAATGCGAAAAAAAGGTTTTCGTAAGAAAATGAGCAAAAGAGCTTTGGATTTCCTTAAGCTAGACTTTCCTGTGAAAGAAAACTGAGCAATTTGTCAATCATTTAACTGTAAGCTCAAGTTTGATCTTTAAAGTGGAAACAATCACACTTTTCTGGAGCATCAAGCCTTCTAGAGCATTCGTTTATAAAAGAAAACGAAAATTCAATGTACCAGAAAGAATTTTAATTTTTAAAACATTCGCGAGAATGAAACCTTTCAGTTTTTTGGTGTCTGAGATCTGAGAACTGAGAGGAAAAGGATTTTAGCACCGGATCAACATGAACATTTGTACTTGGGGCTTTTCAAAGTTAGAAAATCTCGGATTTGTCGTTTGTTTTCAATAATGAACTCACCTTTCGGGGTAGGCCAGTTTCTAATTTTTTTGCGCAACTGGGTCCTTTTGCGCAACTTGCCATAACTTTCTTCTAAGTTGGTCAATCTTTATGATTTTGGTTTCATTTTGTAGATCTCAATAAGTGCAACAAAATGAAAGCAAAATCATAAAGATTGGTCCACTTAGAAGAAAGTTATGGCAAGTTGCGCAAAAGGACCCAGTTGCGCAAATAACCCTGTTGCGGAAACTAGCCTACCCCCACCTTTCACTACCGAAAACTTGGGGAATTAAATCGAAATTAAGAGAAAGAAAGGAGCCAATCTTTGTTTTTGTTCCCTTATTCCTGAAGGCTGCGGGGGTTTCCTGTGGGGTAAAGAAAACCGAATCGAAATACTTACTCGAAAGATCTACGTAAACACTACATTTTATGTTCCTAAAGCAATCTTTGTTTTTGTTCCCTTATTCCTGAAGGCTGCGGGGGATTTTTTACTTACACACTCTACCTAAACACTACATTTTATGTTTCTAAAGAAAAGCTGGATAATTAAACCGAAATTGAGAGAAAGAAAGGAACCAATCTTTGTTTTGTTCTCTTATTTCTGAAGGCTGCGGGGGTTTTGTGGGGTAAAGAAAGCCGAATACAACCGAAAACTTACGCAAAAGATCTACGTAAACACTACATTTCATGTTCCTAAAGCAAAGCTGGATAATTAAACCGAAAGTGATTCAAATAATGAAAAACTTTTTACATTTATAGTGCATATATATCAAAACCCTGTGCCAGAAGCCGTGCGATTATGTAAACGTGAAAATTTTCATCGTTTTGCATACAGAGTGTCTGGAAAAAAGTGGCCATTGGTTTGAGTCTGATAAAATTTTGCATTGAAAAGAATGCGTTTACAATTTGAGTACAAAGTCTTCAAGAACAAGCAAAGCTTTACGAAAAGCTTCAAAAAAAATATGAAGACTGCAAAGCAGTTCAGCTTTGAAAGCTGCAAAACTAACAAAAAAATAAGTTATTCGAACCTTTAGAATTTCGTTTGAAAGCTATTTTCAGATAGTTTATAAAGTAAAATATATTTTTAAGTGATTTGATTTGTTTTTTAGCCTTTGAATCGCCAACTGATAGCATCAAACGTCAAAATTTATGAGAATTTCTCGAGAAAAAACCCAATCTGAGCTTATCAGAAAGAGAAAAGACATTCTTTTGCAATTCTCAGCACTTGAATGCAATTGATCTTTATGAAATGGTACCAATTTCTACATTTGACAGATTCCTTGTTGGGACAGATTGAGAGATTCGTGGAGCTCCGTTCGAATAGATCGAATGGACTTTGCTGATTCGGAGAGTGAGCTCAGAGGTGGGCTTTCGAGTGATCATGTATACAAATTCGTCTGGAAATTTTCGATAATCGTTTTTTCTCGAGATGGGAATTAAAGTTGGGAAATTAAAGAAAAAGAGCACCCAATTTTTATTCTTCAATTTGTCAATTCGTCAACTCCTCAATTCCTTAATTCCTCAACTCCTCAATTCCTCAATTCCTCAATTCCTCAACTCCTCAACTCCTCAACTCCTCAACTCCTCAACTCCTCAACTCCCTAACTCCTCAACTCCTCAACTCCCCAACTCCCCAACTCCTCAACTCCTCAACTCCCCAACTCCCCAACTCCTCAATTCCTCAACTCCTCAATTCCTCAATTCCTCAATTCCTCAATTCCTCAATTCCTCAATTCCTCAAAACTTTTCAAGGCACTTTGCAAGGTCTTGGGGCTAATGATAACCCCAAACTTGAGTAATTGAACAGAAATGAACAGAAACCTAACTCCCTGTCGCCCTATCTGAAAGGATCGTATTCCAGATGACGTTTTTCCCTACGAGACACACAAAAGGTACGCTCAAAAAGATGTCAGTGTTTGGATGTTTGTCAAAAACATGTTTGGATTTGTAGAAAAACAGTATCATTTTGAAAATGGCATGGCTTTTAGAAGAGGAATCAAATTTTCAGAATTCTGTTTTCACCTTGAAACGCGCGAATGAAGAGAAATGGCATTGCAATGGAGAAAAACGAGGTACACCTTGTGAGCAATGAGCACGGTGTGTTGATGTACCACGGGATAGGCGATTCTGAAGGAGAATGTCCCGAGAAGTTTTGCATAAGACAAAATCCAGGGCTTCATTCTATTTCCATTTCTGTACTACTTCGTAAAACGGAAAAGTTCTGTAAATCGATTTTAAGTCTCACTGTTCAAAGCAGCAGTCACTTGATAGGCGGTGAATCCCTGTGTAATCATCGGCCAAATTGATGAGATAAGTAGAGAGATTTGAAGGTTGCGCTGAGCTTTGCGTTGCGCATTGGATTGAGCTTTTCCTGAAATTGTGGGAAATAATGAATGATTGATTGAATAGAACGATTTTGAATGATTTGAATTGAATGATTGGATTGAATGATTGGATTGAATGATTGGATTGAATGATTGAATTGAATGATTGAATTCAATAGAACCTGTAAGCCAACTGATAGTCTATATCAGTTGGCCGGAAAGTCTTGCATTTTTTGTACTTCTGTTTAAAAATAACCAATTCACCAATTGAGTCACGGCTTCCTCGAAATAGAACATCTTTACCATTCACTTTTCTATCATTTCAAGCCGATTTAGGTCTATTTCCAAGTAAATTCGAGCGAAAAAAACTCCTTTCTTTTGCATAATTCGATAAAAAGCTCTACAAAGAAATCGGCTGAACAGATTAACCTGAAAATTCGGCTATATACATAACTTTTTATGCTTTATCTTTTATCTATTGACACAAAGATAGGTTTCTGTTGGGGAAAGTGCCTAAATTACGGCTTCGGGTTGTCGTCTTTTTTCTCGACGTTGGGTTGTCGACTTCGGCCCATAAAAAACGATCGACAAAACATTTTCATAAAATTTAGGCGCCTTTTTGTAGAAAAATAGTAGGTCTTTCTAATGGAGTAAACCGTAAGTCAATCGGTGAATTAGTAAAGAAACAGAAGTACGAAAAAAAAGACAAGACTTTCCGGTCAAACTGATAGTTCAGCCAGGACAAAAGCCGTTAAAGGCCTGATTTCTGGCGAGCTCAGGTACTCTTTATAGGTCAGGCATCCAGCAAACCTTTCTGCCTTGCAGAACCTACAAAATACACTTCTTCTTTTTATCTTCTTACTGTTTTTAATCGTTTCCTTGTTTTACTCACCCTTCACTTGCTTGTAATGCGATCGGAGATGAAAAAGAATGGCAAGGTTGAGAGTTGTGGCTATCAGACAAATTCCGCACATCCACATCAACACGTTCTATAAAAGGCATATAAAACGAAATATTTTTGATCAAATCAGATCGATAAGACAGGTCATGATCTAACCTAACCTAGCTTGGATCGAACCTAACCTAGCTTGGATCGAACCTAACCTAGCTTGGATCGAACCTAACCTAGGTTGGATCTAGCCTAACCTAGCTTGGATCCAACCTAACCTAGTTTGGATCTAACCTAACCTAGCTTGGATCTAACCTAATCTAGATTGGATCTAGCCTAACCTAGCTTGGATCTAGCCTAACCTAGCTTGGATCTAGCCTAACCTAGCTTGGATCTAGCCTAACCTAGCTTGGATCCAACCTAACCTAGCTTAGATCTAGCCTAACCTAGCTTGGATCTAGCTTAACCTAGCTTGGATCCAACCTAACCTAGCTTAGATCTAGCCTAACCTAGCTTGGATCTAGCCTAACCTAGCTTGGATCTAGCCTAACCTAGCTTGGATCTAGCCTAACCTAGCTTAGATCTAGCCTAACCTAGCTTGGATCTAACCTAACCTAACTTGAACTATTTTCAGTCATTAACAACTCAGAAGATCAAATTGAGTACTGTGATTTTGTTTGCGAGATCTTTGAAGTTTATCTTGACTTTTTTTGGCAGAATTGAAGAATTGAGAGCTGTCTTTAAGCAAATATCAAAGCTCATTTTTATACCCACTTCCAGCAACTACAAATCATCAAATCCACCCATTTGTGCATGACATTCATCTAATTTTTTTGACACAAACTTCAACTTTTACAATTTTTGTACTCACAAAATAGCCTCCCAGCCAATCGGTTGTCAAAATCGGATTGCAAGAGTTCGTGTAGCCGAGAGTGCTGAAGAATAGCGCGAAAAAGATGTGAAGAAACTGGGAAATGAAAAATTTTGACGTTCAACTATTTTTAGATTTACCAAAGCGAAATAATTTTTTAAGAAACAAAAGATTGAGTGCCTCATGCTGGAATCGAACCAGCGACCTTCTGTTTACTAGACAGATTTTGATTTCAACCATCGAGATCTTGAAAGTTTTTCTAATAAACCTGATTTTTTGTTTGCTTGCTCTTTGACGTTTGTGTTGGGTTTATAAAGTTCAACGAGCTGTTTTCAAGTGAATACCAAAGCTTATTTCTATAGCCAGGAGACAGGAGATCTAAAAGTGTTCTGGAAATTGTTTGAAAAAGCTTTTGTTTTTGCTTAAAAAGCTTTGTGTTTGAAAGCTTCAGTTGAACCACTGAGATTTTGAAAGTTTTTCTAAAAAACCTATTCTCCAAACTACTAAACAGTATCCACTAATAGTAGTTGGAAAAAACCCAAAAAATCAAAAGAATGCCCCGAACCGGTGACCTTTAGATAGCTGAGGAGCAACTTCAGTCTAACGCTCTCCCAACTGAGCTATCGAGGCAGGTGAGAGGAGATCTTTTGAGGAGAACAAAACTACCGGTCGACAGGTATGTTTAAAGGATCTTTCTTGTTATTTTACTGATTTTAGACTAGTGATTTCTTTCTTTTGAGTCCATAAATCTAGTTCAAATTCTTGCAGAGCAGCCCTTTTTATTATCCAGGTTACATAAACATTTGAACCTTGGTCATAGGCAAACTGAGTGAACAGATGAAGTGTACTAATGAAATTTCACTCTTTTGACAGGCTATGAGCCCTAAATAAACCCCAAAACCTATAAAATTTTATGCACTATATACAGGGTGCGCATTAATTATGCGCCTATTTAAGAGGCTCTCAGCTAGAAATGTGTGTTAACAAACATAATCTTTTTTGACAAAGCAACATTTTCTTTGAGCTTTTAACAGGAAAAAAATCATTAGTTTGCTGTACAGTAAGAGCATTTTAATGCAATTTATAGTTAAATCTTTTTCAAAAGCCAGGCGCGCGTTCCGTTCAGCCGTTCAGGCGCGTTCCGCGTTCAGCCAGGCGCGCTGGCAGGCGCGTGACTACCCGTGACTACCAAGTTGGTCCCAGGCTTTTGCGAGGATTGTTGCTAAGAAACTTAAACTCGCATAAACAGATTATTGAAGCTATAGTCTTTGATATTGAATTAACAAGAAAACCTTCAAGTTTACCAGCTGTGGACGCCTAAGAAATCAAAGTGAAACCTCAATAAAAGACTTTTTTTCTGGCTGTCTTGCACAAGAGTTGTCTGTGAGCGGAAGATGCTATTAATGAGACTTTTTCTGGAATAAACTTTAACTAGTTTAACAATATATATCTGTAAAAGATTGAAGATTTAAAACAATGACTATAGGGATTTTCTTTCTATCTTAAGCGGCCCATAATTAAGCGACCCATAATTAAGCGGCCCATAATTAAGCGGCCCATAATTAAGCGGTCCATAATTAATGCGCTTCCTGTAATTTTGAAACTTTGAAATGATTTGAATCGAGTCTAATTGTAAGAAATAATCGAAAATTGAACGTCACTAACTGGTCTCAAATATGCAATCGCAAAAATGACGACGAGAATCCACGAAAGGAGAATTTGATGAAGAATGATTGAGGCAAATCGATAGACGGATAACACCTGTAAATGGGTTGCTTTAGAGCCATGCTTGTGCCGCAAAAAGTGAAACGCATCCTTTCTGGCGTACTGAATCGTGCACTAGAAAGGTTGCGTTTGCATTTCGAGTACAAAAAGCAAGCGTGTGATGCAAAGCTCACCAATAGATAGACGTAACTGTACTGACCGAAGAAATAGAAGAACGATTTGCTGAAGTAACAAAATAATGCATTGCTCTGAAATAAAGGTAGGAAAAATGAGAAAGTTAACTCCCTCTGGAGTAAGGGAGATGAAGTGCGTTGTGGTGTGATGGATAGCACAGTTGTCAGGTAAGCGAAAGATCTCAGGTTCGAGTCCCGGTGGAGGACGACTTTGTTGATCTGCCCTAGTTCCAACTAGGATTGTTAAAACTAAGGTATTTGTATGTACTTTAGAAATAAGTGTACTGTAGTTTGGGTGTATTTTAGCTAGATCATAAAAAGAAAATTTTAAAAGTAACTTGAAACACCTGCTTTTCTAAATACGATCATCAATCGCTTCTCGATAATCAATCAATCTGCACTCATTTTTAAGATATTCAGGTGTTTTTCGATAATCTTATCACTTAATTGAATATCTTTTAGCTTTAAGATATTCAGCTAGATATCTCATTATCATAAAAACAATCACAATCAGATTTTCTATAAAAAAACCGACTTGTAACTGCACAGCACCCGCTAAAGTCAACCAAATATTGGGTTGGTGAATTGAAAACTGCGGGCTATGGTCATATGTGACAGTTTGAGCACTTTCTTCAAAAGAAACCCATTTTGGTGTCAATGGAAAAGTTGTAGAGAATCAAAAATCAAGCTTATATCCAAATTTTCAGAATGATCAAAATGATTCAAAATTTCAAAATCAAAAGGATTCAAAAACTGGTTTTCAAGAAATGCCAAATTTACGAATTTTCACAAAACTTGCATTTTAAGCGAAACTACTAAGTGTATCTTTTTGGAAATTTGGCTATAAGCCTAATTTTTGATTCTCTACAACTTTTCTATTGACACCAAAGTGGGTTTCTTTTAAAGGAAGTGCTCAAACTGGGACACGTGACATCTCCAGTCCTCTATTTTTGAGTCCCACACTTGTCCGCAGTTTTCAATGCACCAACCTAATAAATACGATAATCAATCGCTTTAGTCGTTTTTGCATTCATTTTTAAGATATTCAGGTGTTTTTCGATAATCTCCTCACTTAATTGAATATCTTTTAGCTTTAAGATATTCAGCTAGATATCTCATTGTCATAAAAAAAATCAGAATCAGATTTTCTCTCAAAGAAAAACCGACTTGTAACCACAGCACCCGCTAAAGTCAACCAAATATATGAGATCAAATTCAGCATATGATAGGAGAAATAAATGTAACTCGTAGCAAAGACGGAATACTGAAAAATTTCGATTTAAATCGATATTAAAATGAAATATACTTTATAACTTGTGAATAGCTCTTTTCTTTTGAATTGAATGTAGAGAAGAAAGAAAAATGGAGGGATCGCCCAAACGCTGAAAAAGATTTTTTTATAAGATTTTAGTTATAGTTATATTTTATAAGATAACTAGCGAAATGCCGTAACCCATGTTAAGCGCCGCCCCTTTTTAAAAATAAATCTACCACAAATACTGTAATAGTACCCCACCCCCATAATGACGGTGTGGAGTGTTGTGTAGTCTAATTTTAACGAGTTTTTCTCGACACTGGTTTATGCTACAATGCGCGCTTAGGTATCAAAAAATAGCTGAAATTCAGGGCTTTTTTGCAGACCAAAGACGCATTTTTGATTTTTTTAGATTTTTTAGATGATTGACTTCAATCAATATCACTTAGATGAGGTGAGATCGAAGCATTTCTAGTATTAGATCGAGAAATTGTTGAAAATGGCCTTATAGCATTGCATTGGATATTGGATATTGCTTATATTCAAGCACAAAGTATCGTTAAGACTTAAGGGTTTCGCTAAACAAATACTTTAAAGTTTTTGATCGCCTGGCTGCAATGGCTGACTGGCTAAGAGCCCTGTATCTTAGTCGAGAGATCAGGGTTCAATTTCACCTAGGTTCTCGGTTCTTTTTTCCCATATAGATACCGTAAATACTGGAATAGTACCCCACCCCCATAATGACGGTGCGGAGTGTTGTGTAGTCTAGCTTTGAACGAGTTTTTCTCGACACTGGTTTATGCTACAATGCGCGCTTAGGTATCAAAAAAAGCCCTGAATTTCAGCTATTTTTTGATACCAAAGACGCATTTTTTGAAAGTACGGGCGCTTTGAAAAAAAATGAAATACTAAAAAACTTTTACGACTACCTGACTGTACGAGGGGGGTGGGGTACTATTACAGTATTTACGGTAAGTCAGATCCCCATATCCGAAAACCCCCGAGAGCAAATTATCACGCAAAAACTGAATACTTTGCCTTTTGATTGATAGATACAAACGTAATTACGGAGCGTCGCGTTTGCGCACAGACAGACGGACGTCTCTTCTACTTTATATTTAGTAGATCATTACTATTTCATAGAAATAAAAGAATCTTCTAAATGCCTTCTTCACGAATGATTTAGGGGCTCTTTTTCCTCCAGCCAAATGTGCTTCGATAGCTCAGTGGGAGAGCGTTAGACTGAAGGGTGTCAGCTATCTAGGGGTCGCCGGTTCGATCCCGGCTCGGGGCAATTTCACTTTCCTGTTTTCTTTTTAAGTTAATTTCTTGAATTTTGCAAAAAACAGGATTTCTAAAAATGATTGACTCTTTAATTGCTCTCTTTGCTGACAATTTAAATGCTCATAAAGCACTCAATCCCTCATAAGCCAAGACCTACGTGGTGATCACTCCATTTGTGCCCTGACCATACGAATCCGCTGTGTAATTCGATTTTGCCCAATAATTCTCCATAAAAAAGACAAATCTAATAAGAAATCCTTTAAACAGGGAGATTATGGAGTTTATGTAATACTTTTTTCTCAACTTTTTCCCTCTTTCAGAATTGAGGCCAAATTGCGTGTTGCCTGGTACAAAAGAGCCGAAGAGGCGGCTAAATTTGAATTTTCGATGATCAGAAAAATGGAGTAGATATAGAAATTTAGAAAAAACGTGAACTTGTTTTGTTTGTTGTTGTTTAAAAGTGAAAAAAAAGTTGCTTTCCCATTATTTGAACAAAATAAACAACAAATGGCGTCAAAGTCGTTCCAAAAAGCGCTTTAAATTCGACGCAAAATTAGCTAAATAGCTAAATAGTTTTCTTTTTGTACAAAACCTCTCCCGAAAAGGATATTCAGTTAAGCGAATGAATAGCAACCGAGCAACCGTATATAAGGCGGCCTTTATGGCAACCGTATATAAGGCGGCCCTTATGGCAACCGTATATAAGGCGGCCTTTGTGGCAACCGTATATAAGGCGGCCTTTATGGCAACCGTATTTAAGGCAGCCTTTGTGGCAACCGTATATAAGGCGGCTCTCCATTATTTTTTATTGTTATTTATGTAAAACTATGGTAATATTTACTATTTACTACATTTGAGAATGTCTTATTTGAGAAGAACACAGTCTAGACGGGTAAACGACTTTCAATTAGCTAGATAACTCGACTTTGAACAAAAAACGAAAGGATTACGGTAGCTTTATATAAAGTGCATTTTTGAGAAAAGATCTTAATGTAGAGAGAAAGCCTACCGTAAACTTTAATAGAATGCCATTCCGATAATGACGGGCGTACAAGCGCGTACTTTGAGCGTCGCATTCACCGCACTGCTTTATGCTACAGTGTGCGCTTCAGTGCCATTTGATAGCCCTTGATATCTTAGTATTTTTGGTACTAAAAATTTAGTTGAGAAAAATCTAGAAACTGAGAAAAAAGTGATTTTCTGAAAAGAAGTTAGACTACGCGAATGTACGAGGAGATGGCGTTTGATTAGAGTATTTAGATAGACAAGATGAAAAAGACAAGTTCACGAGTTGATCCAAACCAAAGAAGCTCAAATTTCCGGGAAACCGAGAAATTTATGAGTAAAAAATTCAGGCCATTCTATGGTTGACATTCATCAGTCAAATTGATTCATTTCTAATTGATTTTGACATATTTTGTGGCATAAAATTGACCATTCTAAACATTCTGGCTTGACTTATGAGGGTAGACTTGATCTTTTTGAAATAAAAACTTTACAACATCGTCGTTTTGTCATTGATCTAGTCGAAACTTTCGAAATCCTGCGTTGCAAACAGATTAGCCGTTTTTTGTTGAATTTTTTAAATTTAACTCGAGGTCAGAGTCCAGAAGTGGCTCATTCCTTTTGCAGATTTGTTTGAGAAGGCTATAGGATGAACAGATCTTGCTTAAACTTTGTAAAAATGCAAACTGGAGTGCAACTTAGAGTCCAAAAGTGGTTCATTCAATTCGCAGATTCCCTTTGCGTTTAGCGCTTTTTTATCAAACTCATTTCCCGTTAGAGCCTAGATCTAGAGCCGCTAGGTTATGGAACTTGCTCCCAAATTATATACGAGAAATTCAGTGACTTTCCATTTCCAAGAAACAAATAGAGGCTCTAGATCTAACAGCTCTCTCGTAGGTGATCTGATTATTTGCATTTTCACTCTATCTTGTATCTTCGTACCTTTCTTTTGTCTCTACATTTATGACTCGCTGTGCATTTCTCGGTACTTGTCGGTTATACATTCACAGAGACTCAACTCGGTTAAGCAAGCAGCTGATAACTTGTGAGGGGTGATTAGATTCAGTAAAGTAGAGTGCTCGGCTGAAGTGATCAGTGGATCAGTCGAACGAAAATCGATAAACGAGAAGACTCGCATGAGGATGCTTAACCGAGATGAGTCTTTCCATTTCCAAGAAACAAATAGAGGCTCTAGATCTAACAGCTCTCTCGTAGGTGATCTGATTATTTGCATTTTCATTCTTTCTTGTATCTTCGTACCTTTCTTTTGTCTCTACATTTATGAAATGTGCATTTCTCTATGATTTATTGGGTTTCACTTTATCAAAAATATTTTTTTCAATTTCTTTTGCCTCTATTAGTCAATTTAAATTAGAAAATAGATCTGTAGTGGTTAAAAATGCTTTTGGCTCTAGTTTTGAACATGAAAAGTGCCCCAATAGTCGATAGCTTGGGCTCCATATAGCGAGCAACACTATAGAGCACTTTGAAGTCCCGAAACTTGGCTTAAAACGCCTTTTCCTAAGCTCTTATTGTGTTTTTCGTTTCACATTTGGCACTCAATGTTGAGAAACAGGAAATTCAATAAAGTATAATCATATCGAGCGGGCTAACGATAAATAAAGCCTAGATTTTGGCACTCAATGTTGAGAAACAGAAGATTTTACTTTAGTTTTGTGAATCTAATTGATTGATGTTTGAAATTTGATGTTTAATATGATAATTTCAAGGTCTTAAACCAATAGTAAATATCTAGATTTAAGCATAGAACTAAAAGTTCTAAGATGAATAATCTCGTGTTGTTTCTAAGATGTTTCTAAGATGACTAATGACTAAGGTGACTAATTGAATGCCAATTGGGAACGTGAATTCGTAAATTTTTTGAAAACTTGTTGATTTATAATCGCTCGGTCCAATCTGATCATTTAATGAGCAAAATATCATGCAATTTATGCAATAACTAGTCAAATAAAGTTTATTGAATATTCTAAAAGGCACTTGGTTGAACTTTATGATCTTTTGAGGCGGTTATCGTAGCCACGGTTTGGATATTTGTGCACAGTTGGGAGGTACGCTTGCGGGTGATGAGAAAGATGAATTCATCTAAAAAAAGATTGCTTCTAAAAGGGATATAGACTCATTTTGTGATAAATTACAATAATTTTTATTTTGCTCATACCTTGAAACGCTCTGATGAACAAAAATGGGGTGGTGACTGCGAGGAAGTAAGATGGAGAACGGACAAAGAGCATGCAGGAAGTGTTGAGATACCAAGGGATCGGGTTTTCTAGAATTTAACTGCTCCTCGAGTAAGCAAAATTGCTTTATTTACGTTCCTATACATTAGTGAAGGATTCTAGAATCGCAATTCTCTACATCTATTCCAAATTCAGTACTTAACACATAGACGACCGCGTGCTCGCTGTTTCTCGTGGATGGCTGGACGAAATGAGCTCTAAATTTGCAAGAGCATGTAATTTTAGATTCTCTTTCCAAATCCGGCGTTAGCTTTATTGGGAAGTTGTGCGATTTTTCGTAAAAAGCGTAAAAACACGGTGTTATCATAGATTTTTCTCATAGTTTTCATGGCCGAATGGTCTAAGGCGCGAATCTAAGGGCCAATTTTTTTTTTTTTTTTTTTTTTTTTTTTTTTTTTTTTTTTTTTTTTTTTTTTTTTTTTTTTTTTTTTTTTTTTTTTTTTTTTTTTTTTTTTTTTTTTTTTTTTTTTTTTTTTTTTTTTTTTTTTTTTTTTTTTTTTTTTTTTTTTTTTTTTTTTTTTTTTTTTTTTTTTTTAAACCCCTTTTTTTTTTTTTTAATTTTTTTTTTTTTTTTTTTTTTTTTCTGAGGCTCCAATACGGGGCTATTAGTTCGATTCTTCCACAAGATTTTGCAAAAACAATGTTTTCTAATAGTTTTTAATGATCAGAAACGTAATCAATAGGTTAAATTATGCCAGAAGAAGGGTTTTGGGCTTTAAAAAACTATTTTGAGAGATTATTTTTAAACCTCTTTCTTATGCATATCCCTCTCATCTCACTGTAAAAACTTTGCTTAAAACGCATTTTCCCAAGCTCTCGTTGTATTTTTCGGAATCTACGCATCAAAATACTTTAGAAAAAGTGCACTCCCAGCTTCTTAGTACCAAAAATTTGATTCTGCAAAAGTTTAACTGCAAGAATCTTCATCGACGAGACGTGGATGTAAAAAATTCTCAAAAAGTTGTTAAGAGTTGAAATCTTTTGATGAAAATAGACATGTTTGTGGTAAAATTAGCTGAATTTCTAGAAACCGGCGTTAGTTTTATGGAGTTTGTTGAGCAAAAAAGTAAGGCCGGGTTCGGATTCTAGAGTCTTTTAAAAAAGTCTATTTATTCGACACGAATTACAACAAAACAGAGGAAATTTTTACTCCTAATTACCCCTATTACCCAAATGTTGTTAAGAAAAAACTCATAATAATGGGAAAAAGAACGAATCTTTGTAGCCGCCGGGATGGAGGCCGACTAGGAGACAAGATTCCTATCCGATCGGCTACGACGGTTTATTTAAACCTAAATATATATGTCGTAGCCGATTATGAATGAAATTTTTTGGTAAATCTTTCTAGTAGAGCAACCCTTTAATGTATGAGGACAATATTATATCATCCTTTAGCGAATTAAATTCTGCGTCGATTGGTACCAAATTTGTGAGTTTAGGTTAAAAATTGCGGGCACTACAACGTTTCATTCAAAATCCGCGCAACCCTAGGAACCGATTATGAATGAGCGGGTCTAGGAGCGTCCAACCATCAAGTATTTAGTATCATTCAACGCAGAATCATTGATAATTATGTTAAATTTTTAAAACTAGAAAGATTCGATAAAAAGAAAACAATTTAGAGTGAAAAAACTATTTGTTCGAGAGAAAACTTTGAAGCTCCATAAAATCTTTTCCTTTTATTCAATCTTTATAAGGACAATATTATATCATTTTGTAGAGAATTCTACGTTTATTGATATCAAATTTGTGTGTTTATGTTAAAAATTGCGGGCACTACAACGTTTCATTCAAAATCCGCGCAACCCTAGGAACCGATTATGAATGAGTGGGTCTAGGAGCGTCCAACCATCAAGTATTTAGTATCATTCAACGCAGAATCATTGATAATTGTCAAATTTTTAAAATTAGAAAGATTTGATAAAAAGAAAACAATTTAGAGTGAAAAAACTATTTGTTCGAGAGAAAACTTTGAGGCCCCATAATTATTTTCTTTTTATCCAATCTTTCTAATTTTAAAATTTGACATATTTATTAATGATTCTGCGTTGAATGATACCAAATACTTGATGGTTGGACGCGTCCGGACCCGCTCATACATAATCGGCTGAAATTCATAATCGGTTACGACATATAAATTTCTGGGTTATGGTGATTCATTTTGATTCAAATCGGCTCTTTTGCAAAAGAGGCGGTCGTCAATGTGTTAAGGAACTTGGTTTCATAGAAGCTTTTCCATTTTACTGGATTAAGAAAGCTATTGTTGAACTGGATAAGCAAATAGAAATTATTTCTGATTTACTTAATAAAGCGCAACGAATTTCTCATTTACTTAATAAAGCTGCCGTGATTTGCCAAGCGGTGAAGCTCTGCGTGAGAACTGGCCAAATTGATGAGATGAGGAGACCGATTTGGAGATTTCTTCGGGCTTTTTGTTGAGCCAGTGACTGGGATTTTCCTGAAATGGTTCAAAAAAGAAATGAGTAATAAATTCGTTTATTTTTAATTCAGCTCACCTTTCAGTTGCTTATAATGAAGCCTCAAATGAAGGAGAATTCCCGCATTCAACACTGATGCCACAAGATCGCAACCGATCAACCACAAGTGAACTGTCTAAAAATTGGAATTTTGATTGAAAAGGCTATTTATGTTAGCATTTGTTATAAATTCTTATATCAATCGAGCACAATTTTAATCTTGCACAGTTTAAATTGACTTGATCTATCTATTTGAGGTGTTTTTTCAGCAAACAAACGCTTTTTTCAACTAATTTCAACCGATTTCAGACTTTCTGAACCTTTTGAAATCTCCTGTGTTTTATTGACTTCTTTTAAGCCCCCAACCAGCGCCTCATTGGCTCAGTGGCAGAGCGTCTGTCTAGTAAACAGAAGGTCGCTGGTTCGATTCCAGCATGAGGCAACAAAGCCTTTTTTTAAATAAAAACTTCTGAACTTTGGTATATCAAAATAACGAAACGTCAAAATTTTTGATTTCCCAGCTCCTTCACATCTTTTTCGCGCTATTCTTCAGCACTCTCAGCCACACAAACTCTTGCAATCCGATTTTGAAACGCGGTTTGTTGGGAGGATATTTTGTGACTACCAAAAAAAATTAGAAAAAGGTCATGTACAAATGGGTAGATTTGATGATTTGTAGCTGCTGGCTGCCAATTGTGGGAATTTGTAGATTTGTAGTTGCTGGCTATAGAAATGATCTTTGTTGTTCGCTTAAAAACCGCTCTCTGAACTTTATAAAGCCAAAATAAACTTCAATGATTTAGCAAAACAAAAAGTCAGTACTCACTTTTAAGTTGTTAATGACTGAAAATAGTCCTTCTTCAAAGTACTTCAAAATAAGTCCAAACTAGGTTAGATTAGGTCCCGAAATCAGCAGTCTAAAATCAGTAAAATAACTGAGAAATCCTGCAAAAGAAAAGTCCTGTAAACATGTCCCGTCGACCGGTACTTTTGTTCTACTCAAAAGCTGCCCCATCACATGCCTCGATAGCTCAGTTGGGAGAGCGTTAGACTGAAGTGATTCCAAAGCTATCTAAAGGTCACCGGTTCGATCCCGGTTCGGGGCATCTTTTTGATTTTTTTGGCACTTTTTCAACTACTATTTGTAGAAGATACTAGTTAGTAGTTTGCAGAATAGGTTCTTTACAAAAACTTCCAAACACATTGCTTTTTAAGCAAAAACAAAAGCTTTTTTCAACCATTTTCTAGAACACTTTTAGATCTCCTGTCTCCTGGCTATAGAAATAAGCTTTGGTATTCACTTGAAAACAGCTCGTTGAACTTTATAAAGCCAAAACAGTAGTTTAAAATCAGTAATATAACTTTCACGTAAGAAACACGCCCCTCGACTGGTACTTTGCCTTCCTTCAGAGTTCCTTTCCCACCTGCCTCGATAGCTCAGTTGGGAGAGCGTTAGACTGAAGTGATTCCACAGCTATCTAAAGGTCACCGGTTCGATCCCGGTTCGGGGCAACCTTTTGATTTTTTTTGGCATTTTTCCAACTACTATTAGTAAATACAAGTTAATAGTTTGGAGAATAGGTTTTTAGAAAAATTCAAGATCATCGCTTCATTGGCTCAGTGGCAGAGCGTCTGTCTAGGAAGCAGTGGGGACGCATGTGGATTCCAGCATGAGGTACACCGCGCAAACTTTTGTTTTTTTTTAAATCATTACCAGAATCAAGTTTAGTATAAAAAGGGTCATTTAGAAGCCAATAGCATTCGTTCTAGAACGTATAATTTAAAAATCTTATTAAATTTGCATCTTTATTGAGGTTATTCCCCAATTAGCTATCGGAGTTCGAAAAAAAGCAAGCAAGAAAGCTTAAGCAATGAGCTTTCAGAAGAGCTTGACTGCAAGTTTGGCCAAGCAGTTCACCCATCAAAAAAATTAATTTTAAATTGTTCCCATTATGTTATTCAGCATTGGTTACATTGACACTAAAATATTCGCATTTTCTTCACTAACCATGTATCCGCCAAGAAAATTCGTTGTCAAAATCGGATTGCACGAGTCATTGTATCCGATTTCGCCGAAAAAGAGCGCACAAATGATGTGAATTAGCTGGAAAACAGGATTTTTGGCTTTAAAATTCTATTTTTCTTTAGTTTTTTTTTTTAGTTTTTCTTTAGTTTTATTTAGTTTTTACTTGCTTTCTAAAAATTTTAATCAGGTTTTGTGTTTAAAGAGTTTTTTAGATACAAAAAGTGGTTCTTTGGAGAATTTGTAGTTTCTTAAAATAGATGAATACATTTTTAGCTGTATACATTTTTCAATCAAGATCTAGAATGGTTTTTTAAAAGATATGGGCTAAAATTTTGAACTTACCACTCTCGAATAAGCACCAAGAAACAGTGGAATTAATGCCCAAATGGGGAGCTCGAAATGGAGAACGATTGTGCAGAAACGGTATAGGGCTAGCACCTGAAATCTTGAAATCTCTCTATTTTTTTGAGCTTAAACTCACCAATAAATAACAATAGCTGTATTGAGAGAGGAAATATCCGAAAGATTTCCCGAAATAACAAAGCAACGCGATTGTCTGAAAGGATTGGTTGAAGAATTTGGGATCTATTGGGTTGGTGGAAAAGTCCTTTGCGATTTTTTGAGAGAGTACCTTAAATTTGTCGAATTTTGAGGTTTTATAGCTCATCCTAAAGCTGAATTCAAGACGGATCGATTCGTAAAAACCGTTTTGAGATATCTCTTTTCTAAAAGTTTTTACAGCTATTTTAGTAAAGGGCGGCAGAGCCAAAAAATGGCTGTTTTCACGTTTCGTTAGTTTGCTGTGACAGATGACCAAAAAAGACAATGCTGTGTGTTTGGTGGGACCATCAGGGCATTCTTCAACAAAAAAACACGAGAAAAACGAGGGAAAATCGCGAAAAGCGGCGGAAAGGCCATTGATCTGAGGGTCGCTGGTTCGACTTCCACCGGTAACAATATTTTTCAAAAATTTTTTGCTAAGATTCTGAAAATGCGTGTCTAGGGGTTATTTTTGACGCTGATCACGAAACACATGTTTTTAGCCTAGGTTTCTGCACGAAAAACTAACGAAACGTGAAAACAGTCATTCTGCCGCCCTTTACTAAAATAGCTGTAAAAACTTTTAGAAAAGAGATATCTCAAAACGGTTTTTGCCAATCGATCCGTCTTGAATTCAGCTTTAGAATGAGCTATAAAACCTCAAAATTGGACAAATTTAAGGTACTCTCCCAAAAAATCGGGAAGGAGTTTTCCACCAACCCAATAGATACTAGAGATTCATTTGTTCTGATTGTTAATAGGTTTACAACGGAAAAACGTCATTTAAACACTTTCTTTTCTTTTCAAGAAGATTTTTCTTTCAAAGATCTATCTTTTGATCTAAAAAATCTCTGAAAAAGTAGCTGTTGAAGTGGTCAAATCTCATTTTTCTGTTGTACATGGTGACACCTTTTGAAAAGTTGCTGACAAACACTACTTATTACTAAAATACCAAGTGTTATATAGAAAAATAAAGCCCTTTATCTTGGCATTATTTATCTACAAAGAGCTTCTCGATTGGAAATATAGAACTTATTTTACAAGCTCTTGAATGAACTCAAGTCGGCCTCTCTCCAGCGTTCTGCCATGGCACTTTTCTTAATAATTTTTCTTGTTTAAAAGGTTTTTTAGATATTTATTTTATAAGAAACTAACATTTAATATCATTTAATAGCAATAAGAATAAGAGAAAACTCTTTTGTCAAACTTTTATAGCCAAAATTGGGGTTGATGTCTGAGTTAATTTGGAAACTCTACAAAAAAGGGAAAATCGAGTTTTTTCAATCCATTTGATAAGATCTTTATAAGATCAGACTTGTTGTACAACTGATCTAGTTGTACAACAAATCTGATCTTATCAAGACCTAAGTCTAAGCTTGACCCTAACCCGCACTCATCTTGCCCATTGCTTTTAAACAATACTGAGCTAACAATTAGTTTCTTTATGTTAACTCACTCATCGCTTATTACCTATACATAGCCAATATCGTTATACCAATATCGACATAGCCAACTTTCAAATCTTATTCAAAAATAAACGGCTCACCGGTGGGTTCTCAAGTTAGGGTAGATGGTTATGGCTGGTTATGGCCACTGTAATTTAGATTCAAAAACCAGATTAGGAATAGTTTTGGCTTTGTCAAGCTTGGTCAGATTCGTCTTCCGGCGAATTCTAGGACTTTTCTGGGCTCAGACTTGTTGTACAACTAAAGTACTGTTGTTTTGTACTAAGTTGTACAGGACCAGGTGACCAGGGCGGCCAGGACCAAGACCAGGACCAGGACCAAGACCAGGACCAGGACCAAGACCAGGACCAGGACCAGGACCAGGTGGCCAGGGCGATCAAAACCAGGACCAGGACCAGGTGACCAGGGCAGCCAGGACCAAGACCAGGACCAGGTGGCCAGGGCGATCAAAACCAGGACCAGGACCAGGTGGCCAGGGCGATCAGAACCAGGACCAGGTGACCAGGGCGGCCAGGACCAGGGCTTAGTACAAACCCTAACCTGAAATCACCTTGCCCATCCTGTTTAATCCGGAAAAATTGTTTCTAAACAATACTAGGTGAAAGAGCTAACAATTAGTTTATTTATGTTAACTCACTCATCGTTTATTACCTATACATAGCCAATATCGATATAGCCAACTTTCAAATCGTATTCAAAAATTAACGACCCACCGGTGGTTGCACAGTTGCAGCATAGTACAACCAAATGAAAGACATTAAATTGACCATATGCGCCGAGAAACAAATATAACTTGTCGCAAAAACTGAATACTAAAAACGTAATTGAAAGCTGAGTGGGAAATCTTGAACCTTGTAGGCTGAGAAGAGTTCTTTTTTTGTGAATTGGATGTAGAGAAGGAAAAGAAATGGTGGAAAAGCTGGTAAACTGGAATTGAATATTGTTGGTGAAGTGTCAATAAAATTTGAAATTTTCGCTTAATCTGAAACCTACATTGTAATGATTCCATAGACACCTTGATCAATGCCAGCTTTGGTGTAATTTGAAGGACTCCAATAAATCTCCATTACAGTAATCTAAAATAAACACTGTTTAAAATAATCAATGAAGAAAATGAAGCAAGTAAAACGAAAATAATTTGAATTTTTTTAGAGCAAAACTAGTTTTGATTTAGATTTTGTTGGAAACCAGGGTTTTTATGAATCTCATAACTTTTTTGAAACTCATTTGTATTATTTCAAAACCGAAATTGATAGCTAAAAACGTTTTTTTTATGAAATTACAATTCTAAACTGGATTTTGGTCAAATTAAAAGTTTTAGCTTTGATAGAAAGAAGAAGAGTTTAGCTTTTTCAGCTTTTTCATTTCCCGTTTCGTTTATTTTTTTGAAAGGTCACTAATGAGAAGAAACGTCAAGGGATTTTTGAAGTAAATTTGAAATTTAGAACAGTTTCATGCCAAATTTATGCTTCATTGCACAAACTACAAAGTAATAATAGAAAAGAAATGAACAAAAATGATTTGGTAAAGAAGAAAAGAGCTTTTTTGTCTTAAAATCCCTCTAGTTAGATTAGAGTTGCTTCTCTAATCTAACTAGGTCATTCTAGCACAAGTAATGGCTTTTCTACCGTTATCCATCTCAAATTCTGCATTAACTTTGACTCATCGACTATTTTCAGTCATTAACAACTCACAAGCTCAAAAGTGAGTACTAATTCTTTTGTTTTCTAGATCTTTAAAGTTTATTTTGGCTTTATAAAGCACAACAAGCTGTTTTTCAACGAAATGACCCCAAAGTTCATTTTTATACCCAATCCGGCAGCCAGCAACTACAAATCATCAAATCTACCTATTTCTATATGAAATTTTTCTAATTAAAAAAAACTAATAGTAGTTGGAAAAATGCCTAAAAAACAAAAAAGCTGCCCCGAACCGGGATAGAACCGGTGACCTTTAGATAGCTAAGGACCACTTCAGTCTAACGCTCTCCCAACTGAGCTATCGAGGCAGGTGGCTTTTAAGAAAAGGAAAGTACCGATCGAAGGGCATGTTTACAGGGCTTTTTTTAAAAATAAATTACTGATTTAAGATTGCTGGTACTAGGGTAGCGGTTGGCTCTCCAAAGTATTTGCAGCTTCATCAGCGTTCATTCGAAAGCTTTCAGATTGACTATTGGACATTAGAACTATTAGAATTTGAACGATCGGACCGGAGCTCGGATTGACCAATAGTATTTGGAAAAATGCCAAAAAGTCAAAAGAATGCCCCGAACCGGGATCGAACCGGTGACCTTTAGATAGCTGAGGACCACTTCAGTCTAACGCTCTCCCAACTGAGCTATCGAGGCACGTGGGAGGGGGCTCTTAAAGTAGAGAAAATACAGGTCGAAGGCGAGCCAGAAAGTTTTCCTATTGTTGTTCTACAATACCTTCCTTATTACCTCTCTCGATCTACACTACTCCCCTACAGCCTTCTATAAACTCTAAATTACAGTACTCCTATATCCCCTTACAGTTTTTCTATAATACCTGCAAAATTTCGCAAAAAACGTTCAGTATTCAGGAAAAGACTGAATACTATATACTTTGATTGAAAAGCGTTAGCGATGCTGTAAAGCATGGTGGCCAAGGTAATGCTCCGAAAAAGCCATCTAACGTTTACCAATTTACTAGCAATTTTGCTAGACGAATTTAGCATTTAGCAACACAGAGTTCAATCCTGACTAGGAAAACTTTACATTTTAAATTTTTTTAAGTCCTGTTTACCTTTTAAAAAGTGTCGTCCAATCAAAAATTAGCCTTTACTCAAAGCTCAAAGAGATTGAAGATTTGCAAAAACATTTGCAACAATTAAAGTTCATTTCCACAAGAGAACAGCAACAAAAAAATGTACCTTGTAACAGATAAAAAGAGAAATTTTTGTCGTAATTCTAATTCTCCTTTTTCGTATTTTGTCAGACATTGCGTGCTCAGAAAATGAACATTTTTAACCGAATTTACGTAGGAAAAGAAGAATTATACATTTGAGACGAGGCTTTTTATCTTAAACAATGAATTTATAGCTTGATCCAATGAAGAATTTTGAGGTTTTCAAAGTTTTCTTTGAAATTTTTCAGCAGATCAAACGATTTGTTTATAAAATCGCCGTGAATCCGAAAAATTTTCACATTTCGGATGGGAAAAAGGCTTTCAAGATTGGAAAATTGGAGAAAACTGGAGAAAATTTGAGAAAATTGGAGAAATTTTGCGTACCAAAGCTGGCGTTCTTTGTGCTCAATGTAAACAAACAAGATCTAAATCTCTTTATTAAAACAAAATCTCAATTTTCTCTTAAAAATAGTGCAGTGCACCTCGAGTCTGCTCCTTGTAGAGTTGACAGTCTCTGAACGATTTTATTTAAACTCAATGAAAGACTGAATAAAATGAATAATTTTAATCGATTCGCCGACCCCGAAAACCCTAGGGTACAAATTTACAGCTAAATATCTTCTTTTTTGGGCTATCTACAAAGCAAAAGAGAAATGACTGGCGAGGTGTTCTTTGTACGGCCGCGTAATCGCTTGCGAGCTGGTAAACGACTCTGGTATAAAGAGCTTCCCTTCTTGAATCCTTAAAGGGGAAAGAGCGGCCAGCGACTGGATTGTGGGAAATTTCTTACGCGCCGCCCCCTTGCCGTTGGCAATCCAACTTTGAGCTCAAATATCTTGGTGCTGCGCCATCCAATTGAAATAATTTTTGTACCAATCGACAGAGAAAGACTTGGTGCATCTAATGGCACCAAGAATATTTAAATTAGATGGCCCAACACCAAGTTATTTGAGCTCAAAGTTAGATTGTTAACCAAAAGGGTCGGGGCGCGTATCAAATCTCCGATAACCCATGTCAAATATTTAAACTGGAGAAGATCTGGTTGAGCTTATCAGGACATTTTAAAGCCAAGTATCCTGTCAAAAAAAGTATTTAGTTGTTTAAAGTTGAATATCTTTTGTTTATTGAAGAATTTGGACAGCCATCTTTGCTGGCTGAATACTTTATTTGGTGTACTGTAGTCATCTCTTGAAACAGCCGAAGCTTAAGCTTAAAGTTGGATTGCCAATGGGAAAGGGAGCGGGGTCATTGTGGGACTTTTAATACCTTTTACCTTTTATGTGGGACCCCGCTCCTTTTGCCATTAGCAATCTAACTTTTAGCTCAAATTTCTTGGTGTTGGGTTGTTCGATTTAAATACTTTTTATACCAATCGACAGAGAAAGACTTGGCACATCTAATGGCATTAAGAACATTTAAATTGGATGGCCTAGCGCCAAAATATTTGAGCTCAAAGTTGGATTGCTAATGAGAAAAGGGCGGGGCGCGTATCAAATCTCCGATAACCCAGCAACTGAGCTTTCCCGCTTTCTTGGAGTCACTATGTCCAAATTTTTGGGATTACCTTGAATTTTATTGCCCTTTCTTATGCTTTTTAAAGAATAAAACTAGATAAAATTTAGAGTCAAGGTTACGGTAGTTGAGCAAGTTTTAGAAAAGGGATTAGTCTAGAGAAACACTTCAAGTGAGACATGGTAACTTTACCACTAAAGATTGAAGTTTAAAGTTTAAAGTCAAAAAAAATTAAGTCAAAAACCTGATATACGAATAGAAAGAGTACAACAAATTGAAGCACCAAAGGAAAATCGAGAGCAGCGTCATGATTTGCATGATACCTTCTGGAATTTGATTTTGAATTGGAATTTAAGAGATAAATTTGGAATGAAGAGATAAATTTGGATTAAATTTACGTTTAACTCACTGATTTTCACGAGAATCTCCTCAAGTCCGTCATCGTATTTTCTAAAGGATTTATTAGCTTTGAAAACTTTTTAGTAATTACTGATTTTTTTGGTTTTCCAGTCGGCCGAAGAGATCAAAGAGGCAAAAAACGACAAGAATCACCTGAATAGCTTTTGAAATTTTAAGGATATAGTAGCTTATTTTATAAGCTAGTAACCCTACCGTAACCGGGATCAAAAGCTGCGCGAATCCCGGTTTCAGCGTTTTGATCGTAATGATGCAAATGAATGTGTAAAAGACGGCGATCACGAATGTTACCTAAACCTTTATTCTAATCTATCTGTCTAATCTAATCTTCTAATCTAATCACTGTATTTGTCGTACCCTACTTTTGATTTAGTACTTGAATTGGTTGCTCAAAAAGTTCAAACGCCTCTATTGGGTTGGTGAATTGAAAACTGCCGGCTGTTGTCATATGTGACAGTTTGAGCACTTTCTTCAAAAGAAATCCATTTTGGTGTCAATGGAAAAGTTGTAGAGAATCAAAAATTAGGCTTATATCCAAATTTTCAGAACGATTCAAAAACTGGTTTTCAAGAAATGCCAAATTTACGAATTTTCACAAAGCCTGCAACAAAACTTCACAAAACTTCACAAAACTTGCATTTTAAGCGAAACTACTAAGTGTATCTTTTTGGAAATTTGGCTATAAGCCTAATTTTTGATTCTCTACAACTTTTCTATTGACACCAAAGTGGGTTTCTTTTGAAGAAAGTGCTCAAACTGGGACATCTCCAGTCCTCCATTTTTGAGTCTCACACACAAACCAAAATCCTACTACGAAAGAGGAATCCGCAAATTGCCTGTAAAATGGGCAGAAATCGTCAATAATAATGGAAATTATTTGGAATGAACTGATGGTTTTATGTTGAATAAATTTTAGTTCAATTTCTTCAATTCACCAACCCAATATCTTACTGTATTTGTCGTCTCGATTGTACGATTGTACTATTTAGTACTTAAATTAGTTGCTCAAAAAGTTCAAACGCATCTAATAACACATCTTTCTCTTATGTTTACGTGTACTTTGCGCTAAAAATTGTAAACACTCCTTTCTAGCGTATTGCACCTTCATTTTTTTCACTAAAATGAAATCCAATTCACCAGAAAGAGTGGATTTAGATTTTTGAAAAGAAAGAACACCATTGTTTACAGGACTCAAACCATTATGGCCTTAAAAACCTTCCCAACTTACCCATGAGAACGGGATCACTTCAAGAATGCTTGGATCAATGTCG